CTGGAAAAACTTCGGGAATTCGCAGCGCCGGCGGAGGGGCCCCGCAGGGGGCGGCCCCAAAAACCGCCCGGGACCCCCCCAAAATCTCCGGGAGAACCCCAAAATTTATGGGTGAATCCCAAAATTTCCGGGAGAACCCCAAAATTATCCTGGACCCCACCCAAAATCTCTGGGAGCCCCCCAAATGTCGGGATCTGACCCCGGATCATCTCCAAAATGTTCCCAAAAAACCGAATTGGGACCCCCCAAAATTTCTGGGACCCCCCAAAATTTATGGGAGAACCCCAAAATTTCTGGGAGAACCCCAAAAATGTCTGGGAGAGCCCCAAAATTTTGGGATCCACCCCAAATGTCGGGATCTGACACGGGATCATCCCCAAAATGTTCCCAAAAATCCGAACTGGGACCCCCCCAAAATTTCTGGGACCCCCCAAATCTCGGGACCCCCCAAATGTCCCGGACCCCCCAAAATTCTCTGGGACCCCCCAAAAATTTCTGGAGAACCCCAAAATCTCCGGGACCACCCAAAATTTAAATCCCCCCCCCAAATTTTGGGGTCTCACCCCGGATCATCCCCAAAATGTTCCCAAAAATCCGAATTGGGACCCCCCAAAATTTCGGGGACCCCCCAAAATTTCTGGGAGAACCCCAAAATTTCTGGGAGAACCCCAAAATTTTTGGGACCCCCCCAAATTTTCTGGACCCCTCCCCCAAATTTAAATCCCCCCCAAATTTTGGGGTCTCACCCCGGATCATCCCCAAAATGTTCCCAAAAATCCGAACTGGGACCCCCCCAAAATTTCTGGGACCCCCCAAAATTTATGGGAGAACCCCAAAATTTCTGGGAGAACCCCAAAATTTATGGGAGAACCCCAAAATTTCTGGGAGAACCCCAAAAAATGAGGATGCCCCCCAAATTTTGGGGTCTCACCCCGGACCATCTCCAAAATGTTCCCAAAAATCCGAACTGGGACCCCCCCAAATGTCGGGGGACACCCCAAAATTTCTGGGACCCCCCCAAATTTAGATCCCACCCCCAAATTTTGGGATCCCCCCCCCCCAAATTTTGGGGTCTCACCCCGGACCATCCCCCCAAAATGTTCCCAAAAAACCGAACTGGGACCCCCCAAAATGTCTGGGACCCCCCAAAATTTATGGAAGAACCCGAAAATCTCGGGGACCCCCCAAAATTTATGGGAGAACCCCAAAATTTATGGGAACCCCCCAAAAATATCTGGGAACCCCCCAAAATCTTTGGGATCCCCCACAAATGTCGGGATCTGACCCCGGATCATCCCCAAAATGTTCCCAAAAATCCGAACTGGGACCCCCCAAAATGTCCGGGACCCCCCAAAATTTCTGGGACCCCCCAAAATTTATGGGAGAACCCCAAAATTTATGGGAGAACCCCAAAATTTATGGGAGAACCCCAAAAATATCCTGGACCCCCCCCAAAAATCTGGATCCCCCCCAAATGGGATATCAGCCCGGACCATCCCAAAATGTTCCCAAAAATCCGAATTGGGACCCCCCAAAATCTCTGGGACCCCCCAAAATCTCCGGGAGAACCCCAAAATTTCTGGGACCCCCCAAAATCTGGATCACCCCTAATTTTGGATCCCCCCCCAAATTTTGGGATCTGACCCCGGATCATCCCCAAAATGTTCCCAAAAATCCGAACTGGGACCCCCCAAAATGTCGGGGACCCCCAAAATTCCGGGAGAACCCCAAAATTTCTGGGAGAATCCCAAAATTTCTGGGAGAACCCCAAAATTTCTGGGAGCCCCCCCAAAATGTCGGATCTGACCCCGGATCATCCCCAAAATGTTCCCAAAAATCCGAACTGGGACCCCCCAAAAATTTCTGGGACCCCCCAAAATTTCTGGGAGAACCCCAAAAATATCCTGGACCCCCCAAATTTCTGGGACCCCCCAAAATTTCTGTGAAGAACCCCAAAAATATCTCGGACCCCTCCCCCAAATTTAAATCCCCCCCCCAAATTTTGGGGTCTCACCCCGGACCATCCCCAAATGTTCAAAAAAAACCGAACTGGGACCCCCCAAAATCTCTGAGACCCCCAAAATCTCTGGGACCCCCAAAATTTCTGGGAGAACCCCGAAATTCTGGGAGAACCACAAAATTTCTGGGAGAACCCAAAATCTCTGGGAGCCCCCCAAATGTCGGGATCTGACCCCGGATCATCTCCAAAATGTTCCCAAAAAACCGAATTGGGACCCCCCAAAATTTCTGGGACCCCCCAAAATTTATGGGAGAACCCCAAAATTTCTGGGACCCCCCAAAATTTCTGGGAGATCCCCAAAAATATCCTGACCCCCCAAAAAATGTGGATCCCCCCCAAATTTGGGGTCTGACCCCGGATCATCCCCAAAATGTTCCCAAAAAACCGAATTGGGACCCCCAAAATCTCCGGGACCCCCCAAAAATTCTGGGAGAACCCCAAAATTTTGGGAGAACCCAAAATTTCTGGGAGAACCCCAAAATTCCTCAGACCCCCCCAAAAAAACCCTTTAAACCCCCCATATTTGGGATATTTTGGGGTTATTTTGGGGTTGTTTTGATGGTTTGGGCTGTTTTTGGGGTTATTTTGGGCGGGTTTTGGGGGTTTTTGGGGTTATTTTTGGTGTTTTTGGGGTTATTTTTATGGGATTTTTTTGGGGTGCTCCCTAATTTTGGGGTGTCCCCCCCCCGCAGTGCTGGGCCGATATTGGGGGGGGTTATTTTGGGGTTGTTTTGATGGGTTTTGGTCATTTTTTGGGTTATTTTTTTCGGGTTTTTGGGGTTTGGGGTTATTTTATGGGATTTTTGGGGTTATTTTTTATGGGATTTTTTGGGTGCACCCTAATTTGGGTGTCCCCCCCCCCAGTTCTGGGCCGGAATTGGGGGGGGGGAATCACACAATTTTGGGGTTATTTTGGGCATTTTTAGGTGGTTTTGGGCCATTTTTTGGGTTATTTTTTCCGGATTTTTGGGGTTTTTGGGGTTATTTTTATGGGATTTTTTTGGGGTGCTCCCTAATTTTGGGGTGTCCCCCCCCGCAGTGCTGGGCCGAAATTGGGGGGGGAATCACCCAATTTTGGGGTTATTTTGGGGATTTTTAGGTGGTTTTGGGCCATTTTTGGGGTTATTTTGGGGTTGTTTCGATTGTTTTGGGTCGTTTTTGGGGTTTTTGGGGTTATTTTTATGGGATTTTTTTGGGGGTGCACCCTAATTTTGGGGTGTCCCCCCCCGCAGTCCTGGGCCGAAATTGGGGGGGGAATCACCGAATTTGGGGTTATTCGGGGCATTTTACGTGGTTTTGGCCATTTTTTTGGGGTTTTTTTCGCGTTTTTGGGTTTTTAGGGTTATTTTTATGGGATTTTTTTGGGGTGCTCCCTAATTTTGGGTGTCCCCCCCCCCGCAGTGCTGGGCCGGAATTAGGGGGGGGATCACCCAATTTTGGGGTTATTTTGGGGTTGTTTCAATGGTTTGGTCATTTTGGGCTATTTTTTCGGTTTTGGGGTATTTTTGGGGTTTTTAGGGTTCTTTTTATGGGATTTTTTTTGGGTGCACCCTAATTTTGGGGTGCCCCCCCCCCGCAGTTCTCTGCCGAAATTGGGGGGGGGACCCTCAAATTTGGGGTTATTTTGGGGTTGTTTTGATGGTTTTGGGCCATTTTTGGGTTATTTTTTCCGGGTTTTTGGGGTTTTTGGGGTTGTTTTTGGGTTTTTGGGGTTCTTTTTATGGGATTTTTTTGGGGTGCTCCCTAATTTTGGGGTGTCCCCCCCCCCGCCGTGCTGGGCCGAAATTGGGGGGGATCACCCAATTTTGGGGTTATTTTGGGGATTTTTTGGTCGTTTTCGGCCGTTTTGGGGTTATTTTTTTCGGATTTTTGGGGTTTTTAGGGTTATTTTTATGGATTTTTTGGGTCCTCCCTAATTTGGGGTGTCCCCCCCCCCGCAGTGCTGGGCCGAAATTGGGGGGGGATCACCCAATTTTGGGGTTATTTTGGGGATTTTTAGGTTGTTTTCGGCTGTTTTTGGGTCGTTTTGGGCCATTTTTTGGGGTTATTTTTGGGGTTTTTGGGGTTATTTTTATGGGATTTTTTGGGGGTGCACCCTAATTTTGGGGTGTCCCCCCCCCCCAAGTGTGGGCCGGAATTGGGGAGGGGAAATCACCCAATTTTGGGGTTATTTTGGGCATTTTTTGGTGTTTTGGGCCATTTTTTTGGGTTTTTTTCGGGTTTTTGGGTTTTTGGGGTTATTTTTATGGGATTTTTTTTGGGGTGCTCCCTAATTTTGGGGTGTCCCCCCCCAAGTGCTGGGCCGGAATTGGGGAGGGGGAATCACCCAATTTTGGGGTTATTTTGGGGATTTTTTGGTGGTTTTCGGCCGTTTTTGGGGTTATTTTTTTCGGTTTTTTGGGGTTGTTTTTAGGGTTATTTTTATGGGATTTTTTTGGGGGGCTCCCTAATTTTGGGGTGTCCCCCCCCGCAGTGCTGGGCCGAAATTGGGGGATTATTTTGGGGTTATTTTGGGTTTTTTTAGGTGGTTTTGGGCCGTTTTTGGGGTTATTTTTTCCGGATTTTTGGGGTTTTTGGGGTTGTTTTTATGGGATTTTTTTGGGGTGCTCCCTAATTTTGGGGTGTCCCCCCCCGCAGTGCTGGGCCGAAATTGGGGGGGGGATCACCCAATTTTGGGGTTATTTTGGCCATTTTTTGGGCTATTTTTTTCGGGTTTTTGGGGTTATTTTTGGGGTTTTTAGGGTTATTTTTATGGGATTTTTTGGGGTGCACCCTAATTTTGGGGTGTCCCCCCCCCGCAGTGCTGGGCCGGAATTAGGGGGGTTATTTTGGGGTTGTTTTGATGGTTTTGGGCCATTTTTGGGGTTATTTTTTTCGCGTTTTTGGGGTTTTTTTTCGGGTTTTGGGGGTTTTTAGGGTTCTTTTTATGGGATTTTTTAGGGGGTGCTCCCTAATTTTGGGGTGTCCCCCCCCCCCGCAGTTCTCTGCCCGCTGCTCTGCAGGAACGGGGGGGGTCTGTGCCCACCCCCAGCGCTGCCTCTGCCCCCCCGAATTCAGCGGCAAATTTTGTCACCTCCCCGCCACCAACGTCACCTCCCGACCCCAAAATCCACGAGGGGGACCCCAAAATCCACGAGGGGGACCCCAAAAACCCCCAAATTTTGGGGAGGGGTCCCCCCAAGCCTTGACCCGCTCCGTCTACACCCTCCCCGTGAGCAACCACCGCGAGGAGGAGGATGGTGAGACCCCCCCCCCCAAAAAAATTTGGGTTTTAGGGGATTTTTACTCAATTTCCCTCCCCAAAAATTTGGGTTTTAGGGGATTTTTTTTACTCAATTTCCCCCCCAAAAAATTTGGGTTTTAGGGGATTTTTTAACTCAATTTCCCCTCCAAAAAATTTGGGGTTTAGGGGATTTTACTCCCAAATCCTTTTTCTTCCCACCCCAAAATCCCCAAATCCCCAAATCCCATTCCCCCATTTTAATTCCCCAAATCTCCCCCAATTTTCCCAAATTTTCCCCCATTCCCACCCCAAATTGTCCCTTTTCCCCAAATCCCAAATCCCCCCAAAAATTCCCCCAAATTCCCCCAAATCCATTCCCAAAAAATCTCCCCCAAATCCCAAATCCCCAAATCCCCAAATCCCCAATTCCCAAATCCCCAAATTCCCAAATCCCCAAATCCCAAATCCCAAATCCCCAATCCCCAAATCCCAAATCCCGAATTCCCAATCCCAAATCCCAAATCCCAAATCCCCAAAATCCCCAAAATCCCCAAATCCCAAATCCCCAAATCCCCAAATCCCAAATCCCAAATCCCCAAATCCCCAAATCCCCAAATCCCAAATCCCCAAATCCCAAATCCCCAAACCCAAATCCCCAAATCCCAAATCCCAAATCCCAAATCCCCATTTGGGATGGGAATAAAAAGGATTTTGGGATTTGGGGATTTGGGATTTGGGGAAAAGGGGGAATTTTTGGGTGGGAATGGGGGGAAATTTGGGAAAATTTGGGAAATTTGGGGGAGATTTGGTGGGGAATGGGGGGGATTTGGGATTTGGGGTTTGGGATTGGGATTTGGGATTTGGGGATTTGGGGATTTGGGATTTGGGGAAAAGGGGAATTTTTGGGTGGGAATGGGGGGAAATTTGGGAAAATTGGGGGAGATTTGGGGGATGGGAAGGGGGATTTGGGGATTTGGGGATTTGGGATGGGGAGAAAAAGGATTTTGGGTGGGATTTGGATTTGGGATTTGGGATTTGGGGGGAATTTGGGAGAATCGAGGGGGATTTTTGGGGATGGAATGGGGGGAATTTGGGGGAGGATTTGGGGATTTGGGATGGGGAGAAAAAGGATTTGGGATTTGGGATTTGGGATGGGGAAAAGGGGAATTTGGGGTGGGAATGGGGGGAAATTTGGGAAAATTGGGGGGATTTGGGATATCGGGATTTTTTGGGGGATTTTTGGGAGATTTTTGCGGGGATGGGGATTTTTTGGGGGGCATCGGGATTTTTGGGGGATTTTTTGGGGGATTTTTTGGGGGTGTTTGGGGGCGATCGGGATTTTTTTGGGGGGATTTTTTCGGGGATGAGATCGGGATTTTTTGGGGGGATTTTTTTCGGGGATCGGGATTTTTTGGGGGGATCGGGATTTTTTGGGGGGATTTTTTCGGGGATCAGATCGGGATTTTTGGGGATCGGATTTTTCGAGGGGATTTTTTCGGAGATCGGGATTTTTTTGGGGGTGTTTTTGCGGGATTTGGGATTTTTTGGGGGGATCGGGATTTTTTGGGGGGAATTTTTGCGGGAATCGGGATGAAATCGGGATTTTTTGAGGGGATTTTTGCGGGGATCAGATCGGGATTTTTGGGGGCCGGATTTTTGCGGGGATCGGAATTTGTGGGGGGGAATTTTTTCAGAGATCGGGATTTTTTGGGGGGATTTTTGCGGGAATCGGGATTTTTCGGGGGAATTTTTACAGAAATCGATATTTTTTCGGGGTAATTTTTGCATCAATCGATATGAGCATTTTTTCATGTGTGGTGAATATTGTAATTTACTATTTTCCCTTAAAAAACCCCAAAATTCCCCTTTCCGCAGGCGCCCAGTCCATGGTCAGTGTCCTGGTGCGCCACCCCCCACGGGCGACAGTGACAATCCACGACGTGGAGCGGGTCCGGGGCGACCCCTCCCCAAATCCCCCCACCCCCACCCCGAGCCCCCTCCCCAAATTCCCGGTGATGGCCCAGCGGGGACCCCCCCGGGACCCCCGGCCGCGAGAATTCGGGGTTCGGGTATTGCTTCCGGCAGATGCGCGAGGGGCAGGTGAGAAATGGGGAAAAATGGGGAAAAATGGGGGAAAATGGGAATAAAAGGGAAAAAAAGGGGGAAAAATAGGGGAAAATGGGGGAAAATGGGGAAAAATGGGGATAAATGGGGAAAAATGGGGGAAAAAGGGGGAAAAAAGGGGGAAATGGGGAAAAATGGGGAAATGGGGAAAATGGGAAAAATGGGGGAAATGGGGGGGAATGGGGAAATGGGGGAAAATGGGGATAAATGGGGGAATGAGAAAAGGGAAAAAAGGGGAATAAAAGGGAAAAAAGGGAAAAATTGGGGGGAAATGGGGAAAATGGGGAAAATGGGGAAATGGGGAATGGGGAAAATGGGGAAAATGGGGGAAAAATGGGGGAAAAATGGGAAAAGGGGGAAAATGGGATAAATGGGAATGGGAATAAAAGGGAAAAAAAGGGAAAAGAGGGGGAAGGGGGAAAAGGGAAAAAAGGAGAAAAAAGGGGGGGAAAATGGGGAAAATGGGGGAAATGGGGTAAATTGGATAAATGGGGGGAATGGGGGAAAATGGGGGAAAAATGGGGATAAATGGGGGAAAAATGGGGATAAATGGGGAAAATGGGGAAATGGGGAAATGGGGAAATGGGGAAATGGGGGAAATGGGGGAAAAAGGGGAAAAAATGGGGATAAATGGGGGGGAAATGGGGATAAATGGGGGGAAAAATGGGGATAAATGGGGGAATTGGGGGAAAAAAGGGGAAAAGGGGGAAATGGGAAATGGGGGAATGGGGGAAATGGGAAATGGGGGGAAATGGGGGGAAAAAGGGAAAAAAGGGAAAAAAAGGGAAAAAAGGGGGAAAAATATGGGGGAAAATGGGGGAATGGGGAAATGGGAAATGGGGGGATGGGGGAAATGGGGGAAATGGGGGAAAAAAGGGAAAAAGAGAGGGGGGAAAGAGGGAAAAAGGGGAAAAATGGGGATAAATGGGGGGAAATGGGGAAAGGGGAAAATGGGGGAAATGGGGAAAAGGGGAAAAAAGGGAAGAAAAGGGGAAAAGGGGGGAAGGGGAAAAGGGGGAATAAAAATGGGAAAAAGGGGGGAAAAAGGGAAAAAAGGGGAAAAGGAAAAAAAGGAAAAAAAAGGGGAAAAGGGGAATAAAAGGGGAAAAAAGGGGGAAAAAGAGGGAAAATGGAAAAGGGAAAAAAGAAGAAAAAGGGAAAAAAATGGGGGAAAATGGGGATAAATGGGGGAATGGGGGAAATGGGGGGAAAGGGGGGAAAGGGGAAAAAAGGGAAAAAGGGGAAAAGAGAGGGGGGAAAGAGGGAAAAATGGGGATAAATGGGGATAAATGGGGGGAAATGGGAAATGGGGAAATGGGGAAAATGGGAAAAATGGGAAAAATGGGGAAATGGGAAATGGGGAAAATGGGGAGAAATGGGGAATGGGGGGAATGGGGGAAATGGGGGAATGGGGGAATGGGAAAAAAAGGGAAAAAGAGAGAGGGGAAAGAGGGAAAAATGGGGGGAAAATGGGGATAAATGGGGAAAAAGGGAAAAATGGGGAAAAAGGAGAAAAGGGGAAAAAAAGGGGAAAAGGGGAAAAGGGAAAAAAGGGGGAAAAGGGGGGAATGGGGAAAAATGGGGAAATGCGGGAATGGGAAAATGGGAAATGGGGGGATGGGGGAAAAGGGAAATGGGGGAAAAAAGGGAAAAAGGGGAAAAGGGGGAATGGGGAAATGGGAATAAAAAGGGGAAAAAGGGGGGAAAAGGGGAAAGGAAAAAAAAGGGAAGAAACGGGGAAAAGGGGGAATTTGCCCCAGTTTTTTTTCAATTTTTCCCATTTCCCCCCGTTTTTGCCTGATTTTCCCCCCGTTTTTCCCCCATTTTCCCCCCTTTTCCCCCATTTTTCCCATTTCCCCCCATTTTTCCCATTTCCCCCATTTTTCCCCATTTTTCCCATTCCCCCCATTTCCCCATTTTCCCCATTTTCCCCATTTCCCCCCTTTATTCCCATTTTTCCCCCATTTTCCCCATTTATCCCATTTCCCCCCATTTTTCCCATTTTCCCCATTTTTGCCCCATTTCCCCCCATTTCCCCCCATTTTTACCCCATTTCCCCCATTTTCCCCCATTTTCCCCCCATTTCCCCCCTTTATTCCCATTTTTCCTCCCATTTTTCCCATTTTCCCCCATTTTCCCCCCGTTTTTTCCCCATTTTCCTCCATTTCCCCCCGTTTTTGCCCCATTTTTGCCCATTTTTCCCATTCCCCCCATTTTCCCCCCATTTCCCCCGTTTTCCCCCATTTTCCCCCCATTTTCCCCCATTTTTCCCATTTCCCCCCTTTATTCCCATTTTCCCCCATTTTCCCCATTTTCCCCCATTTTTCCCCCATTTTCCCCCCATTTTTCCCCATTTTCCTCCATTTCCCCCCGTATTTCCCATTTCACCCCATTTTTCCCCCATTTTTGCCCCATTCCCCCCATTTTTACCCCATTTCCCCCCATTTCCCCCCATTTTTCCACCATTTTCCCCATTTTTCCCATTTCCCCCCATTTTCCCCCAATTTTTCCCATTTCCCCCATTTTTCCCCATTTTTCTCTCCATTTCCCCCCTTTATTCCCATTTTTCCCCATTTTTCCCCATTTTCACCCCCTTTTTGCCCCATTTCCCCCCATTTTTCCCCATTTTTCTCTCCATTTCCCCCCTTTATTCCCATTTCCCCCCATTTTTCCCCCATTTCCCCCCATTTTTCCCCGTTCCCCCCATTTTCCCCATTTTTCCCCCATTTCCCCCCATTTTTCCCCCATTTCCTCCCATTTTACACCATTTTCCCCCATTTTTGCCCCATTTCCCCCCATTTTTTCCCCATTTTTCTCTCCATTCCCCCCCTTTTCCCCATTTTTCCCCCATTTCCCCCCTTTATTCCCATTTCCCCCCATTTTTCCCCATTTTTCCCCATTTTTCCCATTTCCCCCCATTTTTCCCATTTCCCCCATTTTTCCCCCATTTCCCCCCATTTCCCCCCATTTCCCTCCATTTTCCCACATTTTCTCCCCAATTTTTCCCATTTCCCCCCATTTTTCCCCCATTTCCCCCCATTTTTCCCCATTTTCCTCCATTTCCCCCCGTTTTTGCCCCATTTCCCCCTCGTTTTTCCCCATTTCCCCCCATTTTTCCCATTTCCCCCCTTTATTCCCATCTTTCCCCCATTTTCCCACCCATTTCCCCCCATTTTCCCCAATTTTTCCTGTTTCCCCCCATTTTCCCCCATTTTCCCCCGTTTTTTCCCCATTTTCCCCCATTTTCCCCATTTTTCCCATTTCCCCCCATTTTTGCCCCATTTCCCCCTCGTTTTCCCCCATTTTCCCCCATTTTTCCCATTTCCCCCCATTTTCCTATTCCCCCCATTTTTCCCCATTTTCCCCCCATTTTCCCCGTTTCCCCCATTTTTCCCATTCCTGCCCATTTTCCCACCCATTTCCCCCCATTTTCCCATTTCCCCCCATTTTCTCCCCATTTCCCCCCTTTTTTTCTCCATTCCCCCCCATTTTTTCCCATTTTTCCCCCATTTCCCCCCATTTTTCCCATTTTCCCCATTTTTCCCATTTCCCCCCATTTTTGCCCCATTTCCCCCCGTTTTTTCCCCATTTTTCTCTCCATTTCCCCCCTTTATTCCCATTTTTCCCCCCATTTTTCCCCATTTCCCCCCATTTTCCCCATTTTTCCCATTTCCCCCCATTTTCCCATTTCCCCCCCTTTATTCCCATTTTCCCCATTTCCCCATTTTTCCCCATTTCCCCCCCATTTTTCCCCATTTTTCCCCCATTTTCCCCCCATTTTTCCCCCATTTCCCCCCATTTTTCCCCCATTTCCCCCCGTTTTTTCCCCATTTTTCCCCCCATTTCCCCCCTTTATTCCCATTTTTCCCCATTTTCCCCCATTTTTCCCAATTTCCCCCGTTTTTCCCCCATTTTCAGTGTCTGTCTCCGCTGCCGGGGCTGCGCTCTCGGGCCGTTTGCTGCCGGGGGGGGGGCCGGGGTCGCCTGGGGGGTCCACGAGTGTCACCCGTGTCACGGCCACACCCGTAAGGGACACCCGGGGGTGACAAAAATCGGGGTGACAAAAATTGGGGGGGAGTGATAAAAATTGGGGGTGACAAAAAAATCGGGGAATGACAAAAATTGGGGGTAAAAAAAATGGGGGGGAAAAACCGGGAGGGGTGACAAAAAAATGGGGGTGACGAAAAATTGAGGGTGACAAAAAATTGGGGGTGACAAAAAAAATGGGGGTGACAAAAAATGGGGGTGACAAAAAATGGGGGGGGGAAATGGGGGGTGACAAAAAATGGGGGTGACAAAAATTGGGGGTGAAAAAAATTGGGGTGAAAAAAATTGGGGGTAACAAAAATTGGGGTGAAAAAAATTGGGGTGAAAAAAATTGGAAGTGACAAAAATTTGGGGTGACAAAAATTGGGGGTGACAAAAAATGGGGGGGGAAAACCGGGGGGGTGACAAAAATTGGGGGTGACAAAAATTGGGGGTGACAAAAATTGGGGGTGACAAAAATTGGGGTGACAAAAATTGGGGGTGACAAAAATCGGGGGGGGAGAAAATTGGGGGTGACAAAAATTGGGGGTGATAAAAATTGGGGGTGACAAAAATTGGGGTGATAAAAATTGGGGTGACAAAAAAAAATTGGGGGGCAAAAATCGGGGGTGACAAAAAATGGGGGTGACAAAAATTGGGGGTGACAAAAATTGGGGGTGACAAAAATTGGGGGTGACAAAAAACGGGGGGGGCAAAAATCGGGGGGTGATAAAAAAATCGGGGTGACAAAAATTGGGGGTGACAAAAATTGGGGTGACAAAAAATTGGGGGTGACAAAAATTGGGGGTGACAAAAAAATGGGGGTGACAAAAATTGGGGGTGATAAAAATTGGGGGGGACAAAAATTGGGGGTGACAAAAATTGGGGGGGACAAAAATTGGGGGTGATAAAAATTGGGGGTGACAAAAAAATGGGGTGACAAAAATTGGGGTGACAAAGGTGACAAAAAGGTGACAAAAATGGGAAAAAAGTGACAAAAAGGTGACAAAAAATTGACAAAAAGATGACAAAAAGGTGACAAAAAGGTGACAAAGGTGACAAAAAGTGACAAAAAGGTGACAAAAGTGACAAAAAAGTGACAAAAAGGTGACAAAAAGGTGACAAAAAGGTGACAAAGGTGACAAAGGTGACAAAAAGGTGACAAAAAGGTGACAAAAGTGACAAAGGTGACAAAAAGGTGACAAAAAGGTGACAAAAAGTGACAAAGGTGACAAAAAGATGACAAAAAGGTGACAAAAAGGTGACAAAAAGATGACAAAAAGGTGACAAAAAGGTGACAAAAAGGTGACAAAAAGGTGACAAAAAGGTGACAAAGGTGACAAAAAGGTGACAAAAAGGTGACAAAAAGGTGACAAAAGTGACAAAAAGGTAAAAGGTGACAAAAAGGTGACAAAAGTGACAAAAGGTGACAAAAAGGTGACAAAAAGGTGACAAAAAGGTGACAAAAAGTGACAAAAAGGTGACAAAGGTGACAAAAGTGACAAAAAGGTGACAAAGGTGACAAAAAATGACAAAAAGGTGACAAAGGTGACAAAAAGGTGACAAAAAGGTGACAAAGGTGACAAAGGTGACAAAAAGGTGACAAAAGGTGACAAAAAGGTGACAAAAAGGTGACAAAAAGGTGACAAAGGTGACAAAGGTGACAAAGGTGACAAAGGTGACAAAAAGTGACAAAAAGGTGACAAAAAGGTGACAAAAGTGACAAAAAGGTGACAAAAGTGACAAAAAGGTGACAAAGGTGCCGCCCCTCCCCCACCAGAGCCGTGCCCGCCCGGATTCCAGAGACAAAATGGCTCCTGTGAGGGTGAGAGAGGAAATTTGGGAATTTGGGAATTTGGGGTTTGGGGTTTGGGGTTTGGGGTTTGGGGTTTGGGGTTTGGGGTTTGGGGTTTGGGATTTGGGGTTTGGGGTTTGGGGTTTGGGGTTTGGGATTGGGGATTTGGGGATTTGGGATGGAGAATTTGGAATTTGGGATGGGGAATTCGGGAATTGGGATCGGGAATTTGGGATGGGAAATTTGGGGATTTGGGATTTGGGAATTTGGAATTCAGGATCGGGGATTTGGGAGATTTGGGGCTTGGGAATTTGGGATTTGGGATTTAGGATCGGAAATTTGGGATCGGGAATTCGGAATGGGGAATTTGGGATTTAGTATATGGGATTCGGGATGGGGAATTTGGGGATTTGGGATCGGGGATTTGGGAATTCGGGATGGGGAATTTGGGATCAGGAATTCGGGATGGGGAATTCGGGATCGAGAATTTGAAATTTAGGATTTGGGATGGGGAATTTGGGATCGGGAATTCGGGATCGAGAATTTGGAATTTGGGATTTGGGATGGGGAATTTGGGGTTTAGGATTGGGAATTCGGGAATTTGGGATGGGGAATTTGGGATTGGGAATTTGGGATGGGGAATTTGGGATTCGGGATGGGGAATTCGGGATCGGGTATTTAGGATTTGGTAATTTGGGATGGGGATTTGGGGATTTGGGAATTTGGAATTTGGGATGGGGGATTTAGGATTTGGGAATTTAGGATCGGGAATTTGGGGTTTGGGATGGGGAATTTGGGATGGGGAATTTGGGATTGGGGAATTTGGGATTTGGGATGGGGAATTCGTGATCGGGAATTCGTGATCGGGAATTTGGGAATTTGTGATTTGGGATTGGGGATTTGGGGGTTCGGGATCGGGAATTTGGGATTTGGGATGGGGAACTCGGGAATTCGGGCTGGGGAATTCGGGATCGGGAATTTGGGAATTTGGGAATTAGGGATGGGGAATTTGAGATTTAGGATCAGGAATTCGAGATGGGGAATTTGGAATTTGGGAATTTGGGAATTCGGAATGGGGAATTCGGAAATTTGGGAATTCGGGAATTTGGGAATTTGGGAATTCGGGGATTCGGTATCGGATCACCCCCCCCGTTCCCGCAGACGTGGACGAGTGCTCGGAGGCGGCTCTTTGCCAACTGGGCCGATGCAGCAACACCCGCGGGAGCTTCAGCTGCACCTGCCCGGCCGGGTTCCTGCTGGAGGCATCACGGGAACGATGCGTCTGTAGGGTCATTTATGGGGTTTTTATGGGGTTTTTATAGGATTTATGGGATTTATGGGGTTATTTATGGGATTTATGGGGTTATTTATGGGATTTATGGGGTTATCTGTGGGGTTTGGGGTCAGTTATGGGGTTTGGGTTGGGTTCTCCTGTACCTGCCCGGCCGGGTTCCTGCTGGAGGCATCACGGGAACGATGCGTCTGTAGGGTCATTTATGGGGTTTTTATGGGATTTATGGGATTTATGGGGTTATTTATGGGGTTATTTATGGGATTTATGGGGTTATTTATGGGATTTATGGGGTTATCTGTGGGGTTTGGGGTCAGTTATGGGGTTTGGGTTGGGTTCTCCTGCACCTGCCCGGCCGGGTTCCTGCTGGAGGCATCACGGGAACGATGCGTCTGTAGGGTCATTTATGGGGTTTTTATGGGATTTTTATAGGATTTATGGGATTTATGGGGTTATTTATGGGATTTATGGGGTTATCTGTGGGGTTTGGGGTCAGTTATGGGGTTTGGGTTGGGTTCACCTGCACCTGCCCGGCCGGGTTCCTGCTGGAGGCATCACGGGAACGATGCGTCTGTAGGGTCATTTATGGGGTTTTTATGGGATTTTTATAGGATTTATGGGATTTATGGGGTTATTTATGGGATTTATGGGGTTATCTGTGGGGTTTGGGGTCAGTTATGGGGTTTGGGTTGGGTTCACCTGCACCTGCCCGGCCGGGTTCCTGCTGGAGGCATCACGGGAACGATGCGTCTGTAGGGTCATTTATGGGGTTTTTATGGGATTTATGGGATTTATGGGGTTATTTATGGGATTTATGGGGTTATTTATGGGATTTATGGGATTTATGGGGTTATTTATGGGGTGATTTATGGGATTTATGGGGTTTTTATGGGATTTATGGGGTTTTTATGGGATATATGGGGTTATTTATGGGATTTATGGGGTTTTTATGGGATTTATGGAGGTTATTTATGGGATTTATGGGGTTTTTATGGGATTTATGGGGTTTTTATGGGATTTATGGGGTTATTTATGGGATTTATGGGTTTTATGGGATTTATGGGGTTATTTATGGGATTTATGGGATTTATGGGGTTATTTATGGGATTTATGGGATTTATGGGGTTATTTATGGGATTTATGGGGTTATCTGTGGGATTTATGGGGTTATCTGTGGGGTTTGGGGTCAGTTATGGGGTTTGGGTTGGGTTCTCCTGCACCTGCCCGGCCGGGTTCCTGCTGGAGGCATCACGGGAACGATGCGTCTGTAGGGTCATTTATGGGGTTTTTATAGGATTTTTATAGGATTTATGGGATTTATGGGGTCATTTATGGGATTTATGGGATTTATGGGGTCATTTATGGGATTTATGGGGTTATTTATGGGATTTATGGGATTTATGGGGTTATTTATGGGATTTATGGGGTTTTTATGGGATTTATGCGGTTATTTATGGGGTTTTTATGGGATTTATGGGGTTTTTATGGGATTTATGGGGTTATTTATGGGATTTATGGGGTTATTTATGGGATTTATGGGATTTATGGGGTTATTTATGGGATTTATGGGGTTATTTATGGGATTTATGGGGTTATTTATGGGATTTATGGGGTTATTTATGGGATTTTTGGGGTTATTTATGGGATTTATGGGATTTATGGGGTTATATATGGGATTTATGGGATTTTTATGGGATTTATGGGATTTATGGGGTTATTTATGGGATTTATGGGGTTATTTATGGGATTTATGGGGTTTTTAATGGGATTTATGGGATTTATGGGATTTATGGGGTTATTTATGGGATTTATGGGGTTTGTGGGGTTATTTATGGGATTTATGGGGTTATTTATGGGATTTATGGGATTTATGGGGTTATTTATGGGATTTATGGGGTTTTTATGGGATTTATGGGGTTATTTATGGGATTTATGGGGTTATTTATGGGATTATTGGGATTTATGGGGTTATTTATGGGATTTATGGGATTTATGGGGTTATTTATGGGATTTATGGGATTTATGGGGTTATTTATGGGATTTATGGGATTTATGGGATTTATGGGGTTTTTATGGGATTTATGGGGTTATTTATGGGATTTATGGGGTTATCTGTGGGGTTTGGGGTCAGTTATGGGGTTTGGGTTGGGTTCTCCTGCACCTGCCCGGCCGGGTTCCTGCTGGAGGCATCACGGGAACGATGCGTCTGTAGGGTCATTTATGGGGTTTTTATGGGATTTTTATAGGATTTATGGGATTTATGGGGTTATTTATGGGATTTATGGGGTTTTTATGGGATTTATGGGGTTATCTGTGGGGTTTGGGGTCAGTTATGGGGTTTGGGTTGGCTTCACCTGCACCTGCCCGGCCGGGTTCCTGCTGGAGGCATCACGGGAACGATGCGTCTGTAGGGTCATTTATGGGATTTTTATGGGATTTTTATAGGATTTATGGGATTTATGGGGTTTTTATGGGATTTATGGGGTTATCTGTGGGGTTTGGGGTCAGTTATGGGGTTTGGGTTGGGTTCTCCTGCACCTGCCCGGCCGGGTTCCTGCTGGAGGCATCACGGGAACGATGCGTCTGTAGGGTCATTTATGGGGTTTTTATGGGATTTGTGGGATTTATGGGGTTTTTATGGGATTTATGGGGTTATTTATGGGGTTTATGGGGTTATTTATGGGATTTATGAGGTTATTTATGGGATTTATGGGGTTTTTATGGGATTTATGGGATTTATGGGGTTATTTATGGGATTTATGGGGTTATTTATGGGATTTATGGGATTTATGGGATTTATGGGGTTATTTATGGGATTTATGGGGTTATTTATGGGATTTATGGGATTTATGGGGTTATTTATGGGATTTATGGGATTTATGGGGTTATTTATGGGATTTATGGGGTTATTTATGGGATTTATGGGATTTATGGGATTTATGGGGTTATTTATGGGATTTATGGGGTTATTTATGGGATTTATGGGATTTATGGGGTTATTTATGGGATTTATGGGATTTGTGGGGTTATTTATGGGATTTATGGGGTTATTTATGGGATTTATGGGATTTATGGGATTTATGGGGTTTTTATGGGATTTATGGGGTTATTTATGGGATTTATGGGATTTATGGGGTTATTTATGGGATTTATGGGATTTATGGGATTTATGGGATTTATGGGGTTATTTATGGGATTTATGGGGTTTATGGGGTTATTTATGGGATTTATGGGGTTATTTATGGGATTTATGGGGTTATTTATGGGGTTTGGGGTCAGTTATGGGATTTTGGGGTTGGGAATTAACTGGGCCAAACTGGGATGAACTGGGATGAACTGGGATGAACTGGGATGAACTGGGATGAACTGGGATGTACTGGGATGGGATGAACTGGGATGGACTGGGATGAACTGGGATGAACTGGGATGGACTGGGATGAACTGGGATGAACTGGGATGAACTGGGATGGACTGGGCCATACTGGGATGAACTGGGACAAACTGGGATGAACTGGGATGAACTGGGATGAACTGGGATGAACTGGGATGAACTGGGACAAACTGGGATGAACTGGGATGAACTGGGACAAACTGGGACGAACTGGGATGAACTGGGATGGACTGGGATGAACTGGGATGAACTGGGACGAACTGGGACGAACTGGGATGAACTGGGATGAACTGGGATGGACTGGGATGAACTGGGATGAACTGGGCCAAACTGGGATGAACTGGGATGGACTGGGATGAACTGGGAGGGCTCTCCAGGTGCGCCCCCAGCCCCAAAACATCTCCCAGGGGTTTGGGGGGACCCCAAATCCATCAGGTCCGGGATGGGCCAAACTGGGATATACTGGGATGGGATGAACTGGGATTGAACTGGGATGAACTGGGATGAACTGGGATGAACTGGGCCAAACTGGGCCATACTGGGATGAACTGGGATGAACTGGGAGGGCTCCCCCAGCCCATTGGGCGCTGTCCGAGGCTCGGGGGGACCCCAAATCCGGCAGGTGCGGGATGGGACAAACTGGGATATACTGGGATGGGATGGACTGGGATGAACTGGGATGGACTGGGATGGACTGGGCCATACTGGGATGAACTGGGATGAACTGGGATGAACTGGGATGAACTGGGAGGGCTCTCCAGGCGCTCCCCCAGCCCCAAAACGTCTCTCAGGGGTTCGGGGGGACCCCAAATCCGACAGGTCTGGGATGGGACAAACTGGGATATACTGGGATGGGATGAACTGGGATTGAACTGGGATGGACTGGGCCAAACTGGGATGAACTGGCCCAAACTGGGATGAACTGGGATGAACTGGGATGAACTGGGAGGGTCCCCCAGCCCAGCAGGCGCTGTCCGAGGCTCGGGAGGACCCCAAATTTGGCAGGTCCGGGATGGGACAAACTGGGATATACTGGGATGGGATGGACTGGGATGGACTGGGATGAACTGGGATGAACTGGGATGGACTGGGCCATACTGGGATGAACTGGTCTGAACTGGGAGGGTCCCCCAGCCCCAAAACGTCTCTCAGGGGCTCGGGGGGACCCCAAATCCGACAGGTCCGGGATGGGACAAACTGGGATATACTGGGATGGGATGGACTGGGATTGAACTGGGATGGACTGGGATGAACTGGGATGGACTGGGATGAACTGGGATGAACTGGGATGGACTGGGAGGGCTCTCCAGGCACTCCCCCAGCCCCAAAATGTCTCTCAGGGGTTTGGGGGGACCCCAAATCCGGCAGGTCCGGGATGGGACAAACTGGGATATACTGGGATGGGATGAACTGGGATGGACTGGGATGAACTGGGATGAACTGGGATGAACTGGGATGAACTGGGAGGGTCCCCCAGCCCAGCAGGCGCTGTCCGAGGCTCGGGGGGACCCCAAATCCGGCAGGTCCGGGATGGGACAAACTGGGATATACTGGGATGGGATGAACTGGGATGGACTGGGATGAACTGGGCCATACTGGTCTGAACTGGTCTGAACTGGGAGGGTCCCCCAGCCCAGCAGGCGCTGTCCGAGGTTCGGGGTCCGTGTTTTCGGCTGCTGAATGAGGGGGGGTCCTGTGCGCTGCCCACCCTGAGGAACATCACCCGACAGGTTTGGGGGGATTTGGGGGGATTTTGGGGGGATTTGGGGGGATTTGGGGGGATTTTGGGGGGATTTTGGGGGGGATTTGGGGGGGTTTGGGGAATTTGGGGGGGATTTGGGGGGAATTTGGGGGGGTTAAAGGGGGATTTGGGGGGGATTTTGGGGGATTTGGGGGGATTTGGGGGAATTTTGGGGGGGATTTGGGGGGGATTTGGGGGGATTTTGGGGGATTTTGGGGGGGATTTGGGGGGTTTGGGGGGATTTTGGGGGGTTTTGGGGGTATTTGGGGGGGATTTGGGGGGATTTGGGGGGATTTGGGGGATTTGGGGGGATTTGGGGGGATTTGGGGGGGATTTGGGGGGATTTTTAGGGGGTTTTGGGGGGATTTTTGGTGGCAATTTGGGGGGGTCCCGGCGGTTTTTGGGGAGAATTTTGGGGATTTTTTGGGGGAATTTTAGGGCGTTTTGGGGGGATTTTTGGGGGATTTTTGGGTTTTTTTGGGGGGTTTTGGGGGAATTTTTGGGGGCATTTGGGGGGGATTTTTGGAGTGGATTTGGGGGATTTTTGGGGGGTTTTGGGGGGATTTTGGGGGACTTTTTTTGGAGTTTTTTTGGGGTTTTTTTGGGGGGGATTTTTGCGGGGATTTTTGGGCGGATTTTTGGGGGGATTTGGGGGGATTTATGGGGGGTTTTTGTGGGGGTTTTTGGTGGGATTTTTTTTGGGATTTTTGGGGGGATTTTTTGGGGTTTTTTGGTGGGTTTTGGGGGGATTTTGGGGGGGTTTTTGAGGGGATTTTTGCGGGGATTTGGGGGGACTTTTGGGGGGGTTTTGGGGGGTTTTTGGGGGGATTTTTAGGGGTTTTTTTGGGGGATTTTTGGGGTTTTTTGGGGGGATTTTTGGGGGGTTTTGGGGGTTTTTTTGGCGGGTTTTTTGGGGGTTTTTTGGGGGGTTTTTTGGTGGGATTTTTCGGGGGTTTTGGGGTTATTTTTATGGTTTTTTGGGTGATTTTTGGGGGGTTTTTGGTGGGATTTTTGCGGGATTTTGGAGGGTTTTGGGGGGGATTTGTTGGTGGTTTGTGGGGGATTTTTGAGGGGATTTTTGGGGGATTTTTGTGTGGAGTTTTGGGAGATTTTTGGGGTTTTTTTGGGGGATTTTTGGGGGGATTTAGGGGGATTTTTGGGGGATTTTTGGGGGTATTTGGGGGGATTTTTGGGGGGATTTTCGGGCGGTTTTTGGGGGGATTTTTGGGGGTGTTTTTGGGGTGTTTTTGGGGGGTTTTGGGGGATTTTTGGGGGGGTTTTGGGGGGATTTTTGGGGGGATTTTTGGGGGGTTTTGTGGGGATTTTTTTTGTTTTTTGGGGGGATTTTTGCGGGGTTTTTTTGGGGGGTTTTTGGGGGATTTTTGGAGGTTTTTTGGGTTTTTTTGGGGGGGATTTTTGGATGGTTTTTGGGGTTTTTTTGGGGGCATTTTTAGGGGGGGGTTTGGGGCATTTTTGGTGGGTTTTGGGGGGATTTTTGGGGGGGTTTTGGGTGATTTTTAGGGGGATTTTTAGGTGGTTATTGGGGGTATTTGGGGGGATTTTTGGAGGGTTTTTGGGGTTTTTTTGGGGGAATTTTTGGGTGGTTTTTGGAGGTTTTTTTGGGTTTTTTTGGGTTTTTTTGGGGGGATTTTTGGGGGCATTTTGAGGGTATTTTTGGGTAGTTTTTTTGGGGTTTTGGGGGGTTTTTGGGAGGATTTTTGGGGGGTTTTTGGGGAGTTTTGGGGGGGTTTTGGTTTTTTTTTTTTTGGTTTTTTTGGGTGATTTTTGGGTGATTTTTAGGGGGATTTTCGGGGATTTTTGGGTCGTTTTTGGGGATTTTTTGGGGGGATTTTCAGCATCCCCCCCCCCCAGGTTTGCTGCTGCAGCCGCGTGGGCAAAGCCTGGGGGGGCTCCTGCCTCCTCTGCCCCCCCTTCGGATCCGGTGAGACCCCCCCCCAAATCGGGGAGACCCCTCCCCAAAATCGGGGAGACCCCCCCAAAATCCGGGGAAAAAAAATCCGCACTCTGGGGAGGCCAAAAAAACCCCAAAATTCCCCCAAAAATGTGGCGGATTTGGAGTTTCTGCCCCCCCCCCCATTAAATTTTTGGAGTTTCTGAGACCCCTCCCCAAAATTCCTGCGGGGTCCCCAAATTTTTGGGACCACCCCCAAAATGGGGGGGGGGGGAAATTCGGTGTCTGGGAGCCCCAAAAAATCCGGAATTCCCCCCAAAAAATGCCAAAAAAAACCAGAATTGGGGGAGGGGAAATGGGTCTGGGGGTGTCCAAGGGGCTCGGGAGGGGCTCAAGAATTTGGGGAGGGGTCCCAAAAATTGGGGAGGGGTCCTGGAATTTGGGGAGGGGTCCCAAAAAATTGGGGAGGCTTTGGAAATTTGGGGAGGGGTCCTGGAATTTGGGAAGAGTCCAGAAATTTGGGGAGGGGTCCCAAAAATTTGGGGAGGCTTCGTAAATTTGGGGAGGGGTCCAGAGGTCCTGGAATTTGGGGAGGGGTCCTGGAATATGGGGAGTGGTCCCAAAAAATTGGGGAGGCTTTGTAAATTTGGGGAGGGGTCCTGGAATTTGGGAAGGGTCCAGGAATTTGGGGAGGGGTCCCAAAAAATTGAGGAGGGGTCCCAAAAAATTGGGGAGGGATTCAGGAATTTGGGGAGGGGTCCCAAAAATTGGGGAGGGGTTCAGGAATTTGGGGAGGGGTCCCAAAATATTGAGGAGGGGTCCAGAAATTTGGGGAGGGGTCCCAAAAAATTGGGGAGGGGTCCCAAAAATTGGGGAGGGGTCCAGAAATTTGGGAGGGGTCCTGGAATTTGGGGAGGGGTCTGAGAATTTGGGGAGGGATCCGAGAATTTGGGGAGGGGTCCAAGAATTTGGGGAGGGGTCTGGGAATTTGGGGAGGGGTCCCAAAAAATTGAGGAGGCTTCGTAAATTTGGGGAGGGGTCCAGAGGTCCTGGAATTTGGGGAGGGGTCCTGGAATTTGGGGAGGGGTCCCAAAAAATTGGGGAGGGGTCCCAAAAATTGGGGATGGGTCCTGGAATTTGGGGAGGGGTCCCAAACCCTCTTGGCGCAATCCCATCAATTTTTGGGGCAAAACCTCCGAATTTTGGGGACGGGAACCCAAAACCCGGGGGGGGATCCCCCAAATTTTGGGGTGTCCCCCCCCCCCCAACCAAAGCGAAGCCCCCAGACCCAATTCCCGCCGCCCCCTCCCCAAATTCCAGAGGGGTTCCGGGAGCTGTGCCCGGCCGGGCCCGGATATCGTTACTCGGCCTCGGACCTGCGGCTCGGAGCCCAAATCCCCCCGAGGGGGGTCCCCCAAAACCCCCCGACCCCCGGTGAGCGCCCCAAAATTAAGACCCCTCCCCAAAAAAAAACCCCATTAAAAAATACCCAAAAAAACCCCAAAAAAACCCAAAAAACAGCCCCAAAAAACCACAAAAATACCAAAAAACAGCTCCAAAATCCCCCCAAAAATCCCCAAAAAACAGCCCCAAAATCCCCCCAAAAATCCCAAAAAACAGCCCCAAAATCCCCCCAAAAATCCCAAAAAACAGCCCCAAAATCCCCCCCAAAAATCCCAAAAAACAGCCCCAAAATCCCCCCAAAAATCCCAAAAAACAGCCCCAAAATCCCCCCAAAAATCCGAAATAACAGCCCCAAAATCCCCCCAAAAATCCCAAAAAACAGCCCCAAAATCCCCCAAAACCCCCAAATTCCCCCAAAAATTCCTCCTAACTCCAAAAAAAACCCCAAAATACCCTCAAAAATTCCCGAAAAATCCCCCAAATCCCCCCAAACCCCCCGACCCCCGGTGAGCGCCCCAAAATTAACCCCGACTCAGAGACCCCTCCCCAAAAAAAATCCCAAAAAAAATACCCAAAAAACCCCCAAAAAATACCAAAAATTATCCCCCAAAAACTCCCAAAAAATACCCCAAATTCAACCCAAAACCCCCCGACCCCCGGTGAGCGCCCCAAAATTAACACCCGACACGGAGACCCCTCCCCAAAAAAAAACCCCACCGAAAAATCCCCAAAAAACCACAAAAAACCCCAAAAAAATCCCGCCAAAAAATACCAAAAAATACCAAAAAAACCCCAAAAAACCAAAAAAATCCCCCCAAAAATCCCCCAAATTCAACCCGAAATCCCCCGACCCCCGGTGAGCGCCCCAAAATTAACACCGACACGGAGACCCCTCCCCAAAAAAAACCCAAAAAAAATACCCAAAAAAATCCCCAAAAAAATCCCCAAAAAACAGCCCAAAAAACAAAAAATCCCCCCCAAAAAACCCAAATACCCCAAAACTTTCGAACCCCCCCAAAACCCCCCGACCCCCGGTGAGCGCCCCAAAATTAACACCCCACCCAGGAGACCCCTCCCCAAAAAAAATCCGCTCCGAAAATACCCAAAAAACCCCCAAAAAATCCCCAAAAAACCACCAAAAATCGTCCAAAAATTCCCTAAAAATCCCCCAAATTCAACCCAAAACCCCCCGACCCCGGTGAGCGCCCCAAAATTAACACCCCACACAGAGACCCCTCCTCAAAAAAAACCGGACCGAAAAATACCAAAAAATCCCAAAAAAATCCCAAAAAACCACAAAAAATCGTCCAAAAATTCCCGAAAAATACCCCAAATTCAACCCAAAACCCCCCGACCCCCGGTGAGCGCCCCAAAATTAACACCCGACACGGAGACCCCTCCCCAAAAAAAATCCCCCCCCCAAAACCCCCCAAAAATCCAAAAAAAATCCCCCAAAAACAGCCCCAAAAACCACAAAAAACCACAAAAAACCCTCAAAAAATCCTCCAAAAAATCCCCAAAATCCCTCAAAAAACAGCCCCAAAATCCCTAAAACACCCCCCAAAAAAATCCCCCCCAAAAAGTACCAAAAAATCCCTCAAAAAGTCCCGAAAAATTCCCCAAATGCCCCCGAAACCCCCCGACCCCCGGTGAGCGCCCCAAAATTAACACCCCACACGGAGACCCCCACCCAAAAAAAAATCACCGCCGAAAAATACCCAAAAAATCCCAAAAAAACCCCAAAAAAATCCCGCCAAAAAATCCCAAAAAACAGCCCCAAAACCCCCCAAAACCCCCCGACCCCCGGTGAGCGCCCCAAAATTAACACCCGACACGGAGACCCCTCCCCAAAAAAAAAAACCCCAAAAAAATCCCCAAAAAACCCCCATAAAAAACACCCAAAAAATCCCCAAAAAAACCAGAAAAAGCCTCCAAACCACCAAATTCCCCCCAAATCCCCCCTAAACCCCCCAAACTCCCAAAATTCCCCCAAAATCCCCCCAAAAAACCCCCAAAATTCCTCCTAAACCCCCAAATCCCCCCCAAAAAAACCCAAATCCCCCCAATCCGCCCCAAACCCCCCCCTAATCCCCCCCAAACCCCCCCAAAATCCCCCAAAATCCCCCAAAATCCCCCCAAACCCCCCAAATCCCCCCAAACCTCCCCAAATCCCGCCCAAAATCCCCCCAAATCCCCCCCCAATCCCCCCAAATCCCCCCAAAATCCCCCCAAATCCCCCAAAACTCCCCCAAATCCCCCCAAATCCCCCCAAAACCCCCCAAATCCCCAAAACCCCCCAAATCCCCCCAAAATCCCCCCAAATCCCCCAAAACCCCCCAAATCCCCCCAAATCCCCCCAAATCCCCCAAAATCCCCCAAATCCCCCAAAACCCCCCAAATCCCCCCAAATCCCCCCAAATCCCCCCCAAATCCCCCCAAATCCCCCCAAAATCCCCCCCCAGACCCCCCAAATCCCCCCCAAATCCCCCCAAAATCCCCCCAAATCCACCCAAATCCCTCCCAAATCTCCCCAATCCCCCCAAATCCCACCCCAAAATTCCCCCCAAATCCCCCCAAATCCCCCCAAATCCCCCCAAAATTCCCCCCAAATCCCCCCAAATCCCCCCAAATTCCCCCAAATCCCCCCAAATCCCCCCAAATCCCCCCAAATCCCCCCAAATCCCCCCAAACCCCCCAAATTTAACCCCCGACCCCCCAAAATTCTCTCCCCTCCCCCCCCAGCCCCGGAGCCCCCCCAAACCGGGACCCCCCCCCCGCCCCCCCCCCGGGCCGGAGGTGATCGTGGTGCCCCGACCGAGCCCCGAATTTGGGGGGGCCCCGCCCACCCTGCCCCCCCCGGAGCCAGGTGAGGATTTTGGGGGGATTTTGGGGGGATTTGGGGGGATTTGGGGGGATTTGGGGGGGAGTTTGAGAGGATTTGGGGGATTTGGGGGGGTTTGGGGGGGATTAATGGGGAATTTGGGGGGGATTTGGGGGAGTTTTGGGGGGGATTTAGGGGGATTTGGGGGGATTTGGGGGGGTTTGGTGGGGTTAGAAGGGGTTTTGGGAAGGAATTTGGGGGGAGTTTGGGGGGATTTGGGGGGGATTTGGGGGGATTTGGGGGGTTTAGGAGGAACTTTTGGGGGATTTGGGGGGGATTTTGGGGGGATTTGGGGGGTTTGGGTGTTTTGGGGGGGATTTGGGGGAGTTTGGGGGTATTGGGGGATTTGGGGGGATTTTGGGGGATTTGGAGGAGTTTGGAGTGATTTGGGGGGGATTTGGGGGATTTGGGGAGAGCTTGGGGGGATTTGGGGGGAGTTTGGGGGATTTGGGGGGATTTGGGGGCGATTTTGGGGGGGATTTGGGGGGGTTTTGGGGGATTTGGGGGGGTTTAGAGGGGTTTTGGGGGGGTTTTGGGTTTTTTGGGGGGGTTTGGGGGCTTGGGGGGGATTTGGGGGGATTTGGGGGATTTTGGGGGATTTTTAGGGGGATTTTGGGGGGATTTTGGGGGGGATTTGGGGAATTTGGGGGATTTGGGGGGATTTGGGGGATTTGGGGGAATTTGGGGGGATTTGGGGAGGGATTTGGGGGGATTTGGGGGGAGTTGGGGGCATTTTGGGGGAAGTTTTGGGGGGATTTGGGAGATTTCGGGAGGGATTTGGAGGGATTTGGGTGGAGTTTGGGGCGAGTTGGGGGAGATTTGGGGAGAATTTTGGGGAGAGTTTTGGGGGATTTGGGGGGATTTGGGGGAATTTGGGGGAATTTTGGGGGTTTTAGGAACCCTGATCCCCATCCCCAAATCCCCAAAAATCCCATAAAAACCTCCTAAAAATATCCCAAAATTCCGTAAAAATCCCCAAAAATCCCATTTAAATCCCCCCAAAACCCCATAAAATCCCTAAAAATCCCCCAAAATCCCCAAAAATCCCCCAAAATTCCGCAGTGTCCCCGTGCCAGCGCGACCCGTCCGTGTGCGGCCCCGGGCGCTGCGTGCCCCGGGGGGGAGGGGGCTACACCTGCGTGTGCCGGGGGGGCTTCTGGCTGAGCCCCCAGGGCACCCACTGCGTGGGTCAGTGGGGAGGGGGCGTGGGGGGGTCCTGAGTGGGGTTTGGGGGGGTTTGGGGGGGATTTGGGGGGGTTTTGGAGGGATTTGGGGTGGATTTGGGGGGAGTTTGGGGGGGATTTGGGGGAGGCTTGGAGGGTCCTGGGGGTGTTTTTGGGGGTCCTGGGGGGGATTTGGGGGATTTGGGGGGGATTTCGGGGGGTTTCAGGGGGATTTGGGGGAGATTTGGGGGGATATGGGGGGGTTTGGGGGAATTTGGGGGTGTTTTGGGGGGTCCTGGGTGGGATTTGGGGAGGATTTGGGGGGATTTGGGGGGGATTTGGGGGGATCCTGGTTGGTATTTGGGGGTGTTTGGGGGGATTTGGGGGCATTTGGGGAGGATTTGGGGGGATTTTCGGGGGTCCTGGGGGGATTTGGGGGGATTTGGGGGGATTTGGCGGGAATTTGGGGGGGATTTGGGGTGGGATTTAGGGTGGATTTGGGGGGGGGAATTTGGGGTG